CAGATGCTGGCTGGTCATGAGATCCCGAGGCGGAGAAAAGGAAACAGGTATAGGAGACAACATGGGAGGTGGGGAAAAAACGGGATCACAAATCCTTCTGATAACACTTGAAGAACCCAATGATCCTTAACAAAAGGATGCCAGTGACGAAGATAATCAGCAAGCTGAGCTCCCACCAGAGCAGAACCCACTGGTAGTCACTGATACTGTTGGTGACATGACGTTCGCCTTTTAAGAAAATGATGAGACAAGGCACCCCGAGAAAAAGAAACAGGCAAGGGTTGGAAAGAGTAGGGACAGAAAACAGTAACGGGTGCCATATTGGACTCCAATGGAGACAAACAGGCAACAAGTTGGAAAGGGTAGACTGTTGTTGCCCTGATGCAACTCGTGATTCCAAAGACTCGAGGATTGTGTCAGAGATGTACTGCTGCAGAAATGAGGTCATACGTAAATCTCGAAGATAAGATGATGGTAAACGGATACAAGTTAAGGTCGTATCACGAACTAGAAAGTCCCAACAACAGAAAAACCACGTATGTAAATCTAGAGCTGAAAACAACAAACGAGACAAAATGGAGGAAAGAAGGGAGAGGATGTCCCCAGAAAACCCCTCAGGATTTCAATGGAGGGTCTCATAGAGGAAATGGATGATACAGAGATACCATAAGAGATGTGAAGGTAAGACGAAGGTGGAAAATTGGGCATTGGTCAGACTTACAGGATATTTGGGAGCTGCACCCCAAACAGGCAAAATAGAACCTAACAATTGCTGGTCCAGAAAAGGACAGTCTGCACAGTGATATGCAAGAGAAAACTGATCTGAAGCCTGTGGGGAGCAAGACATGCTAATCCCGTTGCTTAATTGTGAGGCAACTTGGTCAGCATGTACCAAAATATCCAGGGAGGGGAGAAAAACCAAATAGGGATGGGAAGATTGGTTATGTAGTAAGGAAGGACGTGGTTCATAGGAAATAGGGGAAAGGGATAAAATGTTACATGCCTGACTGACTTCTCAGGCGAGACATGAGAAGACATGGCAAAATGAGGAAGTGGAAATAGGTAATCCAAGTTCTCATCAGCCTGAACAATTATCCCAATTTCCTTTTCAGAAATGATCAGCTTTTTTGCAAAGAACCTCACTAATCTGTAAGCTCGTGCTGAAACAAAGTCCACCTTATGACTTCATTAGTTTCAAATTTAAAGTAAAAAGCAACTTCCAAAGTACTTATTTCAACATAATAAATAGATAGCAGGGAAATCAAAAAATAATTTATTATCTTTGCATACAAAACAAGAAGAATGATGGAAGTTAGATTATATTAAATTATGTGACCAAGAAAAGCTTGTGGCACAATAACTAAAACTCTGTAAATTTACAAATAAATAAAGAAGAAAAGGAGCCTTATGGAAATCATATCATGAGAAAAAAAATAATCACAGCTTTCAGATGGTTTAATTATGACTATTTTAGTTAGGAAATAGTAAAATAAAAAGTGCAGTTACAAGAACTTTACACTTTTTAACACTACTAATTTACCAAATTCATAGTTTTTCAAACTATATTCGAGCTAGAAATAACCAACAAGAAAAATTTTATATTTGCTGGTAGGAAGTTTAAATATTTCTACTTCCTAAATAAAAAATAAAAATAATTGGTAGGGTGAGGGGGCACAAAAAATTTAAATAAGGGTTAGCAGTTTTTTTTTTTCACTTTATCCAAAACACATGTTGATTTTGATATCATAACAAAATTCAAAACATGAACATTTCAGTTGTGGCTTTATTTTGTAGTGGGGGTCACAGTGAGTTTTAAATTCTTAATTTTAAATAATGTGCTCTCATAAAAATCACAAGACATCACATTGGAAAGGGTAAATAAACAAAATTGTATCTATGAAAAGTGAGAAGTATTAAGTTCCTCTGGAAGTTACAACTGTAGAATAACAAAATAGATTTAAAGTTTCTGCAAGAATAATCGTTCTTCTTAAGTTCATTGAAATCCAACCTTTTGCTTGCCACCAGGATTTGGAGATTGAGTTTTGAGTACAGGGCCAAAGATGTCTGTAAAAGGTTGATTAACAGGATGAGATGAAGACCCAAGTTTCCCACCATCCTAGATTTAAGAAATAAATAGTTCAGTATATTTGGGAAACCACTGGAAAACTGCAACATCTATGTAGATATAGTAACTTACAATTCTTGATACATTAAACTTTGGCATCTTCCTTATCTGATCAAATGTTGAAATATTCCAATTAAAATAATAAATACAACCTAAATTTTTTAAATTAAATGAAACATGTAACAATAACAAATAAAGATAGCAGCCTTATTACATCTAATATTAGTAGTATTATTTAATCTGTCAAGTAAAAATAAAATTATTTTAAATACATTTTCAAAATACAAGTCAGAATATAAATGCTTAACTTACTTTTCTTATGCAAGTATTCACATCTAAGTTAAATCATCATATCTAACATCAAAAATTTGAAATTATATTATTTAAAAGTAAACTGCAAGCTACCTTGATGGGTGAAGGTTTTGGTTTCTTTTCTTTGGTAACCTCACTAGATGGCGTTGTCTTAGTTGCTGGCTGTTTGGAAGAAACCTGTGGATGATGATCTTGAGCTTCACTGCCTGATACCCCCTTGATATGTTGTGAAGGAGGAGGCTGTGGTTGGATGGTGGGGATTGTTCCTCCTGCAGGATTGAGGGTGACAGCAACCTACACGTACACAGAATGTGACAACCAGTTAGCCTTTATTGAAAGAAAAAAAATTCAGAAAAATATCAAAAGATGACACCTTCTTAAAAAAAATGTTTAAACAAAAGAATTGGAAGGTCAAAGACAAATTAAAAGCAAAATCAATATTTCTTGTTAAATAGCAGTGGTTTATATTTGTAATGTGCAAATTCATAAGTTAAAACAGCCAAAGTGAAAGAAAATGTATCATTTACTTTAATCTAATGAAGATTTAAGGAAATCTGTACTAAAAAGTTACACATCAAGAGAAAGAAAAGTCATCACACTTGGTTAAAGGTGTTTAAAAGTCAAGTCCTAATATAATACATAAGATCAACACTTTTTTTGTTACTATTATTATAAAAATGATGTAGAGAGATTAAGAGGTACAAAGTATAATATTTTGGAAATGATGTCTCTGAAAGAACAGAGTAAGCAAGAAACTTGTGGAAAGTGTTTCTAAATTATCTACATAACCATGCAGTATTATTTTACAAATGTCTGTTTTCAGTTTTTCCTAGCAGGTTCAATTCAAATTTAAGTGTACTGGTTTCTCTCATCACACACCACTAATGTTGTTTTCCTGTTACATGTTAAATCTTTTGAATAAAATATTCATATGATACCAACCCAGCAGAGCAGTAAACTACAGTCCATCATCTCAATAAACATCACAGGAATGAAATAAGCAGTTATAATTTAGAGCTAAACAGATTTACTTAAGTAGTAATGAAAGATTAGCTATATCATTCAAATGTTTTTCTTAATCTCTAAACATAAGAAATAATTTGTTTAACAACATGGTTACCACTCTTAATGTAAACAGAAGCAACCTTATACCATTCATTTGTGGTGTGAGGCTGTTTTTGTCACTCTATGGAAAAATAAAATATATCAAGTTAATTTTACCCTTTTATAGAAAGACAAGATCTGTCAAATGTAAAAATATATATATATACAAGTTCTTCTTTTTGCCAATTGTCGAAATAAATGGCTTTTACTTATATTTCTTAATAGTATAAATATATAT